GTAGTGATGTGCAGAGAGCCTTGTATTTGTATCTGTATTTGTTGAGGTAGCAAAATCTATTGTATTCAAATATAAGTGGAGATAAGTGTAACAATGCTCTTTTGGTTTTTATAAGGTTTCAAATTGTAGACAGTTAAAATGTTAATATCAGGCTAAGTTTCTGGGTCAATGCCAGCCTAATTTCCTCCTGGTCAAACAAGACTGGCTCCACCCTTATCTGGGCATTGTAGTGTTTGTTTGTTTTTTAGGGACAGCTCTTTAGAACCAAGAGAAATATGAAATTGAACATACTAGCAGCAAAATCAGGTCAGGATTCAATTTTATACATTTTTTTTTTTTGGGAGAAATGTTTCTGTGTTAAGAAGCAGTGAAACTGTCCAAAGGGCAGACAACTGAGTGTTATTACTCTTTAATAGCTACCACCCTGTATGCACCAGCAACATGACATACATTGATCACATATTATATTTTCAAATTTAAAGACTAGCTCGATGTACAGGGCATCTCGTATGCCTCTCTTTTATAGTCACATTTCACTGGTTCTTTTCTGCTCTTTCTTTCATCACTCCTATGTTCATACAAATGAAGGAATGTGGACGGTCCAGTGCTTACATTCCTCTGACAGGACAAACTAATCCTGCTTATGTAACTCATTTCCACCTTACAAGTTGGAAGCTTTGATTATTTTTTCAAAGATCTAATTGGATGTGCTTGTGTTGCTGGTGCGCTTTGGCTTTGGGGTACCACACCCCCCCCCCCCCCATCTTCACCACTCTTCAAACTGGAGGCTGACATGTCCTCTCAGACCATTTGTGAGGGTTTTCCTGTGACGTTCCCTGGCGTGGTTTTATTAGTTTTGTGATCTTAGCTGGGCTAACACTTGCTGTCATCACTCTTTGGTGTTTCCTCCAGCTGAGACTCATAAAACGCAAGGCTCTGTGACTGTCCCTTGATCTAGGACTCATTTTGCAGTTGGTACACCCACAAATGGGCTGAGTGGAGGAGGGCACGCGGCGTGTTGTATACGTAGAACTGTTGCACGGCACTAGCTGCAGTGCTGAGCTGGGTGGTCACTGGGCCGTTGATTTGCACAATTTTTGGCAAGTGGATAAACATGAAGAGACACTTTATGAACACCACAGGGCCGTTGTTACAGCTGGCTTATTAAATGTTAATTGAGCATTCTTCCTATGAGAAACCAGCTGCCAACCTGATGTTCACGTGTGCGTTTGAGTGTATTTACAAGTTCTTATTTTTCAAATAATGATGTTGTCAGAGTCTAATGACAAGTGTATTAAATGTCAAGCACACTTTGCTTTCAGTTCACCTTTCTAAAATGTTCTCAGTGTCATAGACTAGGCATGTGGCCTTGATTACATTTTTTCAGTCCTGCCTTCGTGACATGAAGGTGTTGTCTTATCAAAGATAATCGTCAAGGTGTAATATGTGCTGTGTGTTCCACTCACAAGGGCTATGTTCAGGAGAGGCTGCTCTTTGCATGTCACTGTTCTGTCAGTGTGGCCATGAAATTAAGCAGTGGGCCCTTCATCTAAGAGACAGCCAGATAACATATAGATGATCAACCTTTCAGTTTGTTCTCTCACACACTCAAACACCGGTCATCTCGCTCAAGTTTAGTCTGACTGTGTTCCTCCACCGACCTTCCCTCCCCCTTCTCCCTCAA